TAATAAAAGTCAAAGAAAGAATAATTTATGCTCAAAAATATTTTGTTTGAAGATATTATTATTATTCAGTTACTTAGTTTTTAATCAATCAATTCAAAATCAACAAATCAAAATGAAAAATAATAAAAATATCAACAAATACTATGTCTTAGTGATAATCCTTATCATCAACGATATGAAGTTTCTGATGAAGATGAGATCGAAGTGTTAACTGTTCGTCAAATTTTTTTTGCGGCCTTTATTCATCATTTTCAGTTCTTGATACGAACGAAATTAGAAGGTTTAAAATTTTTGTTAACCTTTTTTTTTTATTCTCATTGAGCTGAATTACGAATTGCCTCTACTAAGATGAAAATATGTTGTTGGATAATTATTTTGAATTCTCAAAGGTTTCTCAATCAACTCCTAATATTGAGAAACTAAAAATTTCCTAATAAAAGCATATAAATGAAAGCGTATGAATACATCTTTGAAAAGTATTTCTCAGTTATGTGTTGTTAGTTTTTTTGAGTAGATGCCTAATTCGTGTTCGAAAATAAATTAAAAAAAAACGGCTTTAATATTGAAATAGCAAAAGAAAAATTTTTTTGACATCACCCACTCCTGCCGAAGCAGCAAAAATAAGCAAAAAATAAATTTTATATAAATTATGAATTTATAAATTCGACGGGATTGAAGCAGATTTCGAATATTATGTAAACTGCGATTGCAATCATCAATTCGAAATTTGTATCGTTACGGAAGAGCAGCACGATGAGGCAAATAAAAACTACTGCAGAAGACACGACCTATTTAATTGATGGAAAGGATATGGATGCTGGTTTTCTCTTCCACCACATCCATGCACCCACCTATTGTATTTAATCGCACGATATGACTGACACCATTTTTCTTTTAATTATTACCGTCAACAAATATTTTTCGCCCCCAAATATAAGAGATAAATCAAGTTTTTTCTAAATTCGATATTCGATCTAAAAGTAGATGTAGCTGTGCATGTGTATTTCTTTACCCAAACCCTTCGTTCAACTTTACACTTAATTACTGACAACCTGTCTATAAAGAGGACTTTTCTGTAACAGACGTATTCAAAGAGTATTCTCTAATGTATTTAGACTATATTAATTCTTTGCGAAATCGATTCATGAAATATTGGATCTTTATTTATCTTTCCACAAAAGTCAATAGTTGAAACAATATACTATATCAAAATAATGCATATAGAAGCAATCATTTTTTAGAGTAGAAATAGATAGATATTTTCGGTGACTGATATTAGTATAGGATGCTTCTAAAGTTATTTTCGAATGCTTAATACGTTTCTTATAGTTGAATAATTCAGAAATGCTCATTTATCTTCTAATTAGTCATTGAGCTGAAGTTGGAAATAGAAGATTAGTCGAACACAAACTTCTTTCACTAAATGACTTGATTTGGTTATAAACAATTTCCGATCAACATGCCGAACTGTCTTAAAAAGTATCACGAGGATGAAATGAAATAGGAAGTGTACAATACCAGATGACAAATATTTCATCAGACGATTAGTCTATTATCAGGCAACCTTGAAGTTGGAATATATTATTTTTAAAATACATGATGAATATCATTGTTATTTAACTATAATGACTGAGAAAGGAAAAGTTGTTTCAATAGAATCAATCATCAAATTCAACATTTGATGAATAATACATTATTTCTTTGTGGCTACTTTATAAAAGAACAAATTCTCTGTATCTACTAGCTTCTGTATTTGAATGAACACACTTATAATCAATCATTAAACTAAAAATAAAGTTCTTTTTATATTTCATTTGGCTCAAAAGTAATTATAATGTGTAGAGATAAATAATTATTTAACTTTCATATCAATTTGCTTATACATTTGATCTTCTCTTGAAATTGACATTGATTTCGAGTATTGTCATTTGGCAAATATTGTGTTAAATAAAAATTATAATTATCAATCATATTATCATTTTGATCTTTACTATAACTTCAAAATCAAATACAACTTTATCTCCAATATTATTTATAGTAACTATGCATCACTAATTAATCCAATGTTACAGAAATTGTTTATATATTTTTTGTTTATTTCAACTAATCAATTACCAGTAGGTAGTAAAATATACACAGTTCAATTTAATCTTCTTTCAACAAAAAAGAAAAAACAAAATCTTCTATTGCTTTAAAATTCGTTTTATTTACCATAATAAAAAAAAAAAAAAGAATGCCAATGTCTATTCTTATAAGTCAATTTCAATAAGACCATCTTTACATTCATATCCATCATGACTTAAAAAAGTTGTTGAAAATAAACTAAATTTATTTTTTTCAAAAAAACGAATAGCTCGAATATTTTCTACAAGTACACCACCAGATAAAATCATATGATGTTTATCCATTCGTCGTACAATATCTATTGTTTTTTTCATTAATAAACTACCAAGATATATATTTTGATAATTATCCGTAATACATGGACTTAATCGTGCAGTATTATTATTATTCAATTCAATCTTATAATTAATACGAAAACGTTCATATTCATCATTACGAATAGATAATGTTAAATTAAATAAAGCTACTATCATATTTTCATTAATCAAAGCAATCAATCGTAATTTATCATTATTTCTATTTATTTCTTCATTACAAAATAATTCTGCTGTTTTTCTATCATAACTTGGATAAACACAATAATGACGTGTACGTTGACTAAGACTTTCGAGGAATGTTGTTAAATTTCTTTCATCAGTAGATAACAATGGACGAAAGAGAATATGTTGATTGATATGAGATAATGGGTTAATACGAAGATGGCGTCCTTATAACAAAGATAGAAGATTCATTTCAATTATTACAACATTTTGTTTTCAAATTTTAAATAGTTCTATGCAAATTCTATCTTTGTCTACACAACTTTAAAAAAAAACATTCTAAACTTCAATGTGCAAAAATTTTTTAGCAATCAATACTTGAAAAAAATATTTAATTTTCTGTTGTTTTACAAAAGTTTTACCTCAATTTTATTCTAAAACAAAAAGAAAACAAATTATCCTTTTTTTTTGACATCCTTCTCGTATATCTTCTAAAACTCTGAACTAATAACTAGTTCAGATTTTTGAATAATATCATTCAATGTCAATGTCATTTAGTGCAAATCTTGTCTAGAAATTAAAATAATGAAATGCAAAACAAAAAAAAAAAAAAGAAAAAGTCATTGTTTTAAAAAGAAAAAAAAATTGGATTTATCCACGAGCCAAATGTTGTCGATAACCAATTATAACATAAAGTGCTGAACAAAGAACAATAAAAAAATCGTCTAATAAACCAAATATACCAAGAAGACTTTCCGGTAATATATCAAGTGGTGATATAACATATGCAATTACTGATATAAATATTACAAATGTTCGTAAACGATATGTCCATGCAAGACCTTCTGTTGTGAATAATTGACGAATTATATAAGGAATTAAAACTGGAATATCATAGAAATATTCAAGCCACTAAAACAAAAAGGATTATATAGTTTTGAAATAAAAAAAAAAAATATTAAGAATGTTTTACCGTTCGTGGAACATTAGAAAATCGTCGATTAAAATCTTTAACACCATTAACAACCATTTGTCGATCACTACTATCTGGTGCTGCTCGTTCTTCAGCAGTAAAACGTGTTAAAAGAACTGTTACCTGCAAATTATTACATATATATATATAAATATAATGCTTAACTTTAATTGAAGCCTAGTGGAATCTAAGAAGTTGTGGAATTCGTCAGTATATTCAATTGAAATCTAAAAAGTGTCTCAAAAGTCTATCGAGAAAAAGAACGTGGATAATTCTTGAACAATTCAAACAATATGCCTGAATTACTTATCTTTTTATTCGACATTCTTTAAAATTTTGTATCGCATAATTTTATTTTTATATCTACTGTTCAAAATAACTACATCTGAGTTGAAACATACACATTCAATATTTTTTTTTCTCAAAATCTTTATAACAGTTTGTAGAACGTAAAACGCTCTATAAGATATCTTATATTAAACTTGCATGTCGATTAGTAATCATATTGAAAATCGATTTACAATCCAAAAAGAAAAGTCAGTTTAATAAAAGTACAGTTATTCAGAAACCTATTCGAGATGTTTTTGTTTAGTTTTATTTAATCTTTCAAATGAGATGTTGTTCAAACAAAAATGACGAAGTTATAAACGAAACAATGAAGATGATCTTATTTTTTCCGTTTTTCATGTTTCAACACTTATAACTCAACTAAATCACATCACTGTAGTCTAAAAAATTTTTTATTAGTTCAATTTAATATTAGGAATCGATTGATGTAAGAAAAAGGTACATTTTAATTTCGACCATAAAATCAACTTTCTCAATGAACTCAAGTAATTTGTCTTATAAATAACAAGTATGTGTTATGTTTTCTTAATGAAAATACAAATTATTTGGTAGTTTTGCATGTGACATCTGTATAGAATGCTTTATAAGAAATATCAAAATTTTCGATTCTTAGACTAACGTTTTAGGTGCACATTCAGCTGCCTACTGGCACTTAAAAAACACATGGAAACAACAAATTAAAGATCTACATTTCGATTCATCATATATCTTATTTATTCTTGCTAACCAAAATTTGATGCTTAAGTTTCTTTTTTCATTGATTCGTTTGAAATGTTTTTTTTTTTTTCATATCTTTTGATACTACATTTGAGCAAATAGTGTTCAAATTAGGGTTGTAGAAAGTGTTTTCTACATAAAAATTCGATTTTTTTTTTGTTATTAGGAAGAACTCAAAATAATCGAGAAGACAACAGTTTCAAAATATATTTTACTAATAAAAATTTTTGCAGCATTATCTACAATAAAAATTTATCCTATAACTCGTATGGATTTGGGCTCTGTGGGTAGTACAGAGACATCGACATCATCACGGTTTGCATGAAAATCGACTCAATTGTATCAGCTTTAACAGACTTCAAAAAAAAAACATCCCATCGGTGTATAGCAGTCGTAGTTTCTCGCCATTTTATCAGATGAGCATCATAGGAAAAGTTTTATTAATTTAATCTAGATAATAGAAACTTACTTGTTGTCGACATACAGGGCATTTCAATCCACTCATCCAATTAGATTGAAATTTCCAAAATGTAACAATACATTTACCTAAAATTTGTCAAAAACACAAAAAAAAAACAAAATAAAATTTCAATTTTAGTTCATAAATAACAAACCACAAAATACATGTCCACAATTAGTTTCAACACTTAATATTGATGGCTCTTCTAGACAAATCGGACATGCATCTTGTCGAGATCGACCAACATGTGACGAAGATTGTGTTCTATTAGTTGTATCTCCTTGTTCTTGAGATCGTTGACGTAATAATTCAACATCTTGCCGATTATCTGGATGAATTGTTGTACGACGATGACGTCTATTTAAAATAAATAAATATAGATATAAATAATCAAAGAAAAAAAGAAATTCACCTTGTATAATAAATCCAAAGACCAACTAAGCAAGCAATAAGAACAATTAATAGTAGAGCATCATCGCCAATACCCTTGATCAATGACGAACGATTTAATCCATCAATTTCTTCATTTTGTCTAAATGGCCAAAACCACGGCATTTTTTTTTTCTTATCTAAAATCAAAATATCTCACAATTGTTTATAAAAATCTACGTAAATCAGTAGTTATTTTCCCACAACAATGATTCATCTCACATATAATTAACTATTTACCCACTGTTGAGTCAGTGTTGACTTATTTATAGAAACTATCTATTTCAAGTAATAAAGCATTAAATCAAGATAGTTCTCGAACATTAGAAAAATAAACCTTCATTTTATCATTTCTTGACTAAGATTTTTTTTTAAGTTGGAAAACAAGGTTTTTTTTTTATATACTATATAGGCTGATTATTTTAATGTTACTATATTCTACTCTACGGATCTAATCTCTTTGCGGAGTGGCTTTTAAAAAATTCTTAATTACAAAATAAAAAATGCAACTTGCGTTATGATAAGGATTTCAAATCAGAATCAAACCAATGATCTCATATTATAAAAAGAAAATGAAGACTAATGATTTTGACAGAATCCTAAAAATGAAAGATCTAATTTCAATCTGAAAATAGTTATCTTTGCAGATCCCCTAACCATATATTATCTCTCGAAATGAATCATTATTCAAAACAAATAACCCATGGTTAGTAGATTCTCAGTTTTATACAGATAAAATAACCATATAACTATGAAAAAATTAAATTAATAATAAATTCAACTTTTATGTTATTCAAGACGAATGAGTCATTTTTTGACCTATTTTGTATCTTCACTGTGAAATGAATTGGTCCAAATTTAGCTATACAAGTGTCGTAATTAACAGCTATTGAAGCTATACTCATGGATGACTCAGCATAAATTCTATTGGATGAGTGTTAGAAGGTAAAGGTTTAATTTACTAAAAATTGAATCATCATTTTCTTTATGCCAATACAATCACTGAATATTTTATCTCAAATATTTACACATAATCAAAACTCACTTGTTATTTATTCTGTGGAAGCCAAAAGCTAAATACATTTATACCTTTTCAATATTTTCTTGACAGTAATCGCTACGATGAATCACAAAAAAAGGTTTGAAGAATTTTCTATTAGGAGAAGGTTTTTTTTCATGTTTTTATTAAAATTTTTTGTGGAAAATATTGTCTGAAAAATGAAGAACTTCAAAACATCTATTTTATGAAGTCAAATTGAAAATAAGTACATCTGATAAGACAAATCTATTTAACTAGAGTTAAACATTTTCAAGCTTTTCTTCATTAAACTTGTACTCAATCTATCAAAGTTATTTTTTCAAAAATTTCTTGTATTCTACACTTAGAGATCTTTCATAGATTGAGAGCAATTAGATGAATATGTATTTTAGGAAACTTGAAAATGTTTGATTTCGCTCGAAAGTGTTTGCTCTGTTTTTTAAACATTTTTCAATCGAATTCAAAAAACTGGTTTTTGAACGTCTTAGGTTTCTACAATAATTTCAATGAAAAAGGAGGAGAAAAAAATCAAAATTTTTTTTCCTAATTCATTAGAAGTGCTATTATTAAAAATATATCCGAAAAATACAAGTGTACTAAATGTTTTGGCTCTCTCTTCCTTCCACTTTATGCATATATGTAAAAACTAAACTGCACTGTTCTCGTCAATGATTTACTTAATCAATGAGGCAGAAAAAGAAAAAAAAACTTTATTTCTTCTACGAAGTGTAATAGAAGACTAGCAAAAAAAAAATAATGTTATTGATTAATCATTTTTTCATTTTGATCTATAAAAAGCAATCATTCTTCATTTAAATATTGTCCATTTAATACATTTTCGATGATATGATAATACAACTAAATCAACGAAAATAAGTATAACTTTAATGGCTAATCATTGATAATCATGTTCAACTATTCATTTAAGAAATTCTATAACATCTTTATCTAATTAGAATTTATTAGCTTTTATACCATTTGAATATTTAATGTAATTATCATAAAATAGTTTAGACAATAGTTACCCAACTACGATTAAAATATGGATTGTAATATAAATCTGGTTCTTCTTGATAACTGATTAAATATGTAATTACAATCATTGTGATAGTTTCTATCTAGTGACACCGATAACTAGATAAAATAAGGGTAAGTAGTTAATTACTAAGATTTTGTCTTGTAAGAATCGATCTAAGGAAAGATTGTTAAATAAAAGCTGAACTAGTTTTTTAAGTAAACTTCACATTTCTTTTTTTGCTGCATTAAAGTAATTTTTCAAAAAGGAACATTCTTTTGATTTGCAAAATAAAGTAGTATTGTTTTTGCATTTGTATTTCTATAGAATCCTTTGTAATAATAAAACGCAAAAAAAAAGTCTTCAATTCTTCCATATTAAAGTCAATTATTGTCAGAAATTCACTAATCTAAAACGAAAATTACACATAAGAAATATTTATCCATTTCAAAATTTTATATTTTATCTATATCAAAAGACTGTCTAGAGTTATCAAGTATGATAAATAAAAGTTTATGTAGTAGATCGTCTCCTATTAGCTTCTTTAACTGTGTAAAATTCATTTACAAACTATTCTTTTATGCTTAAGTCTAAAAAATATCTGCTAACACTATCATAAGAATATGGCAATGGTGTATAATCTTTATCATTATATTCATCAGTAATTTGGCTTTGAGCAGCAAGTACTTTCTGTATAGACATATATGACTTCAATTAAATGACAAAATAGCACAAACTTGTTTATATGATTCAAAACCACATCGTGCAAATGCACGATCAAGTGAACCATAAAATGGTCATGGTAATGAGACTATTACCTGATACATAAACGATAGCTCATGAATAAGTCGTCCAAATATAACTTTATTTGATACGCAAGACATTTGCAAAAAGATATGTTGATAATATCTAACGAATCAGATTTATGTCGCTGTTTATTATTATTAAATAACTTATAATTAAATTTTTTATCTTCTGATATTTTAAAAGTTTATTTAAGAAAAAAAAATCGAAATTTATAAATAGATAGATGGTGTCATAATGATCAATTGGATTGGTTGAAAAATTTACCAATGAAATTTATATTTGTTGTCTTTGGCACATTACGATACGATCATGTCATTTTTTTTTTCTTTTTTTTCATACATTATAATGTGGTTTATTTGGTTTTATAAGGAAAAAGTCATATGTACTCAGTTTTTCGATAGATAAGAATTTACGTTAGACTTGTTGAGTAAACGATTCGTTAATAAATATTGTTAAATATATTTTTTTTTTATTGATTACTGATTCATTCAAAAATAATGGATACACAGATAGAAAGGATGTATCTATACGTACAGAATGTTTAGAATAAAATTAATTTTACATATATAATTGTTGTTTTAGACATTACAATATTATTTTAGATTAATTTTTTTTTTGTCTTTCTATAATGCATTATCTAGAAGATTATCTAGAATGTAAGTTTGCTGTATCTTTTGTTTTCTCCTTCCTATTTTTTTGTTTTAGTACTTGATCCATTACCTGAAATCATGCGTGAAAAATTAACTTTAATGCGTGAAAATGATTTAAAAAATCAAGCTGAATTTGCCCAATTAGAAGATGATACATCAAAATTTCTTAGTAATTATCGTCAATATCAACAACAAACTTCACTTTCACCAACACGATCGAGAATTAATACACATCGTTCAACAACAAATACAAATGAAGAATCAACAACTAATTTAATAAATACAAATGAACAACATTTAACAGCTGAACAATTAGCTGCACAACAAGAAAAACAAGCTGAATATGATAAACTTGTTGAAAGACATCAACTATTAATAAAAGCTACAACAACAAAAATTAATTTAGCTAATGAATCTCATGATATTGTTGAACGTTATTATAAAAAACTTGAAAATGATTTAAGTAAATTTAAAATGGAACTTGAAGCTGATTATTCAGGAATAACAGAAACATTAGAAAAACGTATGTTTATTTAAATAGTTTAATTAAAATTTATTTATTTATTTTTTTTTATAATGAAAAATATTTTTAGGTTTTGCCAGTGAAGGTTTCAATGAATATGATAATACAATAGGCGAGAATAGTAAGTAATTCAATCGAATTTTATATATTTTAAATGACAAGAAAAATATTATAATCTCATAGACAACGAAACATTTTAAATCAAGAGTAGACTCAACAATTTTTATAAGATCTCCACTGAGAATCTTTTTTTATACTATTCAGATGAATAACAGTTAGTGCATCTTATTTCCTATCTGCATTTTGTACTATATAAAACTGCTGGTGTGATCCAGAAAAAAAAACTGCAGCTTATGTCAAAACATGTTCATTTAAAGAAACACATTAACATTTGTTTGTATTTCATTTTGAGTCTCGAAAGAAGAGTTTTCAATCTATTTTACTAAAAAAAAAGAGTAATAATGAAACAGTAGGGTGCACAGAAATTTTGACGTTTGTATAATAAGTTTCGATGCACTGTGGAAATTTATCAATCTGACGGAAGGAAAGACGCTTATAGGCGTCTCTCGTCTCGGAACAGTTCAGATCGGATAGAATCACATAAATTAGGTCCTAAGATTTCGACAAAGGGAAATGATTTTTTTGGATTATTCACTTTGTGTACATAGTTTAACCTTTGTACTTCGAGTATTCGTAAATTTTATACTGCAAAAGTACATTTTGATCTAGATTGAATTCAATTGATATTATCTTCAATGAAGAAATCTTGAGAATAAGCTTTAAGTATAGAAGAATTATAATAAATGAAGATGACGAAGAATGAGTATTTCTTGACGAGAGTACCTTTCCAAATGTTCAATCGCTTTTCGATCGAGACAATGCTAATAATTAATAGGAAAGTCTAGAATGGTGTAGTTTTCCAAGTCTTCGTTCTCAAGGTATCGAAATTTTAGTGGACTTTTTAACAGAAAGCTGCGGTCTACATAGGAAATCTCCTTTCGATTTGAATCTTTGCACGACCAAAGCTCTCAATAGTATTAGTTCATTGGACAAGTTGTTACTTTTCTAATATCTTCTATCCTAAGATATTCAGTATTCGAAATTCTCTCATATGTAAAAGCAAATTTTGTTCATTTATGTATATCTGACAAGAAATATTAGAATAGCTAGAATTTGCACAATTAACTACTCTCATTAAGAACTTTGTTCGTACAAAATTTGAAATCGTAAGCTGATTTTTCATGTAGACTACAGTTTGTTGTTGAAAAATTCAGTAAAATTTCGAGAACAAAGATCCAGAAAATTAAATCATTCTAGACTTTTCTATTACTTTCATCAAATGAATATCGTCTCGTTTGAAAAGCAATTTGACATCTGGAGAGATTCTCTTATGAGTTAAATTCTGATTTTTCTAAATTTATTCTATCTATTTATTAAGAATAAAATATAATTAAACAGTGATCATTTGAGTTTTTTTTTTTATCTATTTCAGATAACTTCGATCCATCGGTACTAGATATGGAACCTCTGTTGGATTCATTAGATGATATAACAATGTCAAGTACATTAACAGATGATTATACAAATCAATCAACATTAAGTTATTTAATGTCATCTCAATCTCGTCGTTTATCAACTAGTAATATATATATATAAAAAAAAAAAAGAAAATTTTCAATTCTATTTTTTTTCTTCTTTAGGTTTACATCCATCAAATTCTTCTTCATCATTTACTCGAAAACAAAATCCACAACGTATTCTTTCAAATTCATCAACATCATCACGTGGTCGAAAACGTTTACAAGGTATATCATCAACAAGTAATATTGGTAAACATCGAAAACGAAGTATGACACGTAATCCATTTCTTAATGAATCATATCAATCACATCCACTTCATCATATATTACCACCAAGTGATAGTGATGAATCATCATCAGCATCAAATTTACAATCAAATAATACAACAACAACAACAACAACCACAACAACAGATTATTTTCAAATAAATAACCAAACAGCATCGCCAAATTTATTTGACGATGAAACAAATGGTGATTTTGATTCAACAAATGTTTTATCTAATTTTCCTGGACAAGCTATTGATGAACGTCGTTATTGTTTTTGTAATGAAATGAGTTATGGTGATATGATTGCATGTGATAATCCAACATGTCGTCGGGAATGGTTTCATTATCCATGTGTAGGTATTGTTACACCACCGAAAGGTAAATGGTTTTGTGCTGAATGTACTCAAATGCAACAACAACAACAACAA